AACACACTTTATTGTATTACTTTGTAAAAGATCCTTGAGAGACCAAGTTGTGGTCAGTATTCTTAAGAAGACTAAGACAAGTTTGTCTTAGTGAAAAGATTGTAATCAGTTTTTTGATTATTGGATTAAGTCCTCTTTTGAAGGAGGCGAAATCACCTTGGCCGGGTGGACTGGAGTAGTTTGAGTTCAAACGAACCAGTATAAAAATACCTGTTGTTTTTATTGCCTTATTTGCTTTTGAAAACCCTTATTCAACCCCCCCTTCTTAGTGTTTTCCTACCTTCAAAGAAGTGTGGGACATCCTTAAAAGGATTTATGAATATTCTATTGAAATCAAAAGATACTATATGAAAATGAAGTAAATAATCAGAGATGGTTCTCAGGTGTTTAAATTCTTGGCAATATTTTTAATTTTTTTTTATCTCTAACAAGTATCTAAAATTAAAGGCGTGGTGTTAAAAACCTAACATAGTACTATAGTTCAAATATTCGAACTATATTAATAATTTACAAGAAACGTTAGATGAGTTAAAAATTACCAAAGAAGAAGAAATACTAAAAATACTTCAAAATGAGATAGAAAACGAGAAGAATATCTTAAAGGAAGATCTAAACTCATTTGAAAAATCAAGTGAAGAGGTAAGCCTCTTTCTTATGACTAATTGTGAAGATGATGGCAAGGTAACCAATCTTTTCTGTAAATAGATGTATGATCTTAGTGTAAAAGGTTGTAAAAAAATGATGAGTTACAAAAAAATATTATGACATATAAAATCATGTTAAACCTCTAAACGATGAAAATCATATATGAATTGAATCAACTTAAAAAAGTACCGCGAATTTAGATAATTGTAAAACATGTGACTCTATTAAGAGTGAAATGGAAGAGTTGCATGAAACTCTAAGCAAGTTCACCAAAAGAATAGGAAATCTTTATATGATTCTATCTAGTCAGAGAGTTACATGTACAACAACCTTTAAGATGTTCTCGCACTTGGCTTACTAGACAATGACCTTTTAGGGCGACCATAACTCTCCCTTGAGGATTCAGAGTTTAACTGCCACTTGAACGAGAAGGATACTTCGTCGAAGTTATCGATTTAGATATACACGTGGGCGTTAAAGACAATTCATTAAAGTTCCAACATTTAATAGTCTCGTGGGTGTTAAGGATGCCTTATTGAGGCTTCAGCATAATTTATTTCCACTTAAGCGATAAGGATACCTCATTGACACTCCAACATAATTCATTGTCACTTGAGAGACAAAAATGTCTCATTGAGGATCTGGCATAATTCATTGTCACTTGGGAAGTAAGGATGCTTCATTGAGGCTCTAACATAATTCATTGCCAATTAGGGGCAAGGACGCCTCATTGAGGCTCCGTCCTTATTTATTGTTACATGGGTGACTAGGATGCCTTATCGAGGCTCCAACAAGATTCACTGCCATTTGGGCGACTAGGATCCCTTATTTGAGGCTCCAACATTCAATTGTCATATCCTGCAAAGCCAAACAAAGATGTACACAAATCTATATAAAAGATTGGGGCACATCATTAAAAAACCATGTACTCATAACGGAAAAGAGTGTCACTTAATTATTACAAGCAAAATCTATCTTTAAATAAATCATACAACCAACAGAGATGTCATTTTGCCTTATTCAACCAAAATGATAACATAATTAAAGGAAATACGACATTAAAATCTATCATGCCTCCTAGGCCCGCCTCACCATGCTTACTTGATAAGTCTATGCTCTTTTAAAATAGTGTAGCCAAATCATCCTCTTAAACCCTCGTAGCGTAACCGCCTTGACCGAGGAAGGTTTTTCCAAAGGAATCACCTTCTTTCTGATAGGCTTTGCTTATCACTTCAAATCCACGACATTCACCTCCCGCACATATGGCTGCCGAAGGTGAGGCACAATCATAACTGGCTTATTCAACCTCAAGTTGTCCTGGTAATATATATTGATAATGTATTGATCACATTGGATAAATCTTACGTGCCTGTAGGGAAGTTGGTAATTTATACACAGATACAACATAAACAAGACGGCTCCCAACAGGTTGAAAGCAAGGTGCCATATGATCATTTTGTACAAGGAATGGGCATCTATTTCACGAGGTATCTTACCTGAATCATCTTCACACTTTACTTGGTCCCAAATATAGTTTTCAATGAGATGTAGCCCATTTACTTGTACATGTTTGCTAGAGAATCCAACTAGTGAGCCTTGGAAAATTTTGAGGTCTTCCAAATTTAAGAGGAATATCTCGAAGGTGTAATAATAGAGAATGTCTGCAGAACTTCCTTAGTCAATTATTACTCTCTTAATTCCCATTCATCATACTTCACGATTATGACCATGGGGTCGTTGTCATTGGGGATGTATTCCAGCAGCATCTTTCCTGAGAAGGTGATCTCAGACTCAAGAGTTTCTTTCGCGTCCAGATTAGGGATGAAGATGCATATTCGTAAACCCTAAATTTATAAATCTTCATTTTCATTTGAATAACCATAAATCAAACATAACCTGCACTGTTTTGATATGGTACTGAGATACATATCTGTAAACCCTAAACAAAGATACATCTCTGGAACTATAAACATGTAAAATGGACCTTTCAAAGAGGGATGAATGAGATATGTGTTAAAATATTTCAGAGATATATATCCGAATTAGTTAACGTTTCACATTAAGACAAAATGCGTCCATTGATACATCTCTAAAATTTGAGAGACATTTTGCGTTTTTATAGGGTGTTTTTCCACCTCATAGAATAGGATGAGAATGGAAATTTTACCCCATACCCCTACAATTAAACCCATACCCCTACACTGAAATTTTTTGGACCAAAATACCCTCGTATGAAAAATTATAACTTTTTTGGTTTGTTTACCGTAAGACTTTTTGGAAGTCTTCCGATTCACATTTTTTTGGCTTGTTTACCGGAAGACTTTCAAAAAGTCTTCCTGGTACACATTTGTTTTGTTTGTTTACCGGAAGACATTTTGGAAGTCTTTCGGTTCATATATATATATTTTTTAATTTTTAATTTTTTTTAATATTTAAATTACAAATATATTTATTTTATTTACTCTATTTTAGTTAATTAATATATTTATTCTATTTACTCTATTTATTTATTTAATAATAATTATTCTACTAATTTGATTTTTAATTAAAATTTCCTGTGCTATTGTGCTTTTTTTTAAGTTACTTCATTCTTTTATAAAGTCCGCTTTGATTAACTTTAATTTTATTTTTTATATTTACAAAATTAATATTTATAAAATATATTATCATACTTGTATCACAATTGAATTTTATTGTTCATTTTCAATTGTCCTATACAATTAATAATTAATGTTAGATGCATAGTTTACAACTCAGGAATATTATTTAATAGAAATATATCTATAATTAATAAATAAGTGAGAATAATTTTACGTAAAAAATAGTTATGAGGTAAGTTATTTCACCGGATAAAAGTGACTAAAATAACTCAATTGATATTTATAATTGAATTAAATAAGTGCAAACCGTTAATTTAGAGTTCAATAGTTGGTAATTTCATTTTTTAAATATTTTTCATAATATAAATAAATTATTTATGTTTATTAACAATTTTTCAATTTAAAATTTTAAAAAATTACTTCATTTAATCACTTTTAATAATAATAAATTTTATTAACTTAACTGTCAAATGAAAATTTTTATTATGTAGATCAATGATATAGTACGTTATTATTTAAAAATTTCATAGAAAGCAAATCTTATCAAAAAAATTTCTACCAGCTATAAATATTTAGTTTTTTTTTAAAGTTACCGGTGAATATTTTTCTACAGCTACTATTATTTATTCAGAAATTTAGAAATTTTTTATTTTTGAATGTTCTACTATATTGTGGTGATTTTAAATAAAATATATTATTGATTTATCACCTATATTATTATCCGATTAAAAATATTGAAGAATGTAGAATTACTACCTATGTTTTAATTTAGTTGATTTTTTGATTTGCATGCTTGGAAAAAAATTTATTTTTCCAAATCTACTATTATGACAATTTTAAATAAAACACATAATGGATTTCTCATGAAAATTTAGGAAATAAGTCTATGAATTTCTAAACTTTCAAATTAATAATATTTTAATATTATTTAACATGTTTAATCAAATGAAAATATAAGCGATAAAACAATAAATTTCTAAACATTCAAATAAAAAATAATTTCATTGTCTTCAAAATTTTTAGTCAAATAAAAATATAGGTGATAAATCAATAAATTTTAAAATTTTTGAATAAGTAATAATTTTGTAATATTAAATATTTCATTCAAATAAGTAATAATTATTATTAAGTAAATAAATATAGTAAATAGAATAAAAAATTAAATTAGTGGAGTAATTATTATTAAGTAAATAAATATAGTAAATTAATAAAAAAATAAAATTAATAAAATAATAATTATTAAATAAATAAATAGAATAAATAGAGTAAATATAATAAATATATTAATGAACTAAAATAGAGTAAATAGAATAAATATATTTTTAATTTAAAAATTAAAAAAAATTAAAAATTAAAAAATATATATATATATGAACCGGAAGATTTCCAAAAAGTCTTTCGGTAAACAAAAAAAATGTGTATCGGAAGACTTCCAAAAAGTCTTCCGATAAACAAGCTAAAAAAATGTGAACCGGAAGACTTCCAAAAAGTCTTCCGGTAAACAAACCAAAAAAGTTATAATTTTTCATACGAGTTTTGGTCCAAAAAATTTTAATGTAGGGGTATGGGTATAATTGTAGGGGTATGGAGTAAAATTTCCGATGAGAATAAGAAATTCACAAATTAAATAAAAATGGCCCATTTCAACCGAAGGCCCATTAAGGTACCCCAAAGTTTGGTTAATCCCATGGAAAACGGGAAACCCTAAACCCTACTTTTCGCTGTTCAAATTCTTCCGATCTGATCTCATCATCAATGGCTTCAGCTTGCAGTAGAATTGCTCAAAGAGCGTCAATTTCATCCATCAAATCAGCTATCAAATCGAACATCCGTTCATCTTCTATCCCCAAACCAACATCCACCACTTCTTCTCCTCTTCGCAGATCCTTTTCATCCAGGATTGCACCGGAACTCGGATGCGTGCAGTCGATGTTACCGCTTCACAGCGCGGTTGCGGTGTCTAGAATGATGTCACGCCTCAGCATAACTTCGAGGAACTGTCAGTCGCTTTCTCAGGGTACACTCTGCTGCACCTCTCCCGGCCTCTAATACTTTGTTTTTCAAAATTATTCACACACTGTGAGTAGCTTTCTTGCTTCTTACATTTACCGTTCCATGAAGTTTTCATTGATTTTGCGTCATTTCAATAAGCTTTTCAAGTTAACAAAAAAAATATTGTTTGTTTAATTCTGTGGCAATTGCATTGGTATATTACACCTTGTTAAAATTGTGCGACGTTCATCCTCTTGATGATGCTGTTGTATCTTGTATGTAGTGTTATTAGTAGTTACATAAAGTAATTGTAGCTAATTTACGAAAAATAGAAGTATAAGAATTTAGACCAGACACTTATATAAACTCAGTTTCGGTATTATTTAGCTATTATTATAGCATAAAAACTTATAAAGTTTAATGTATAAGCTATTGGGCGCTTAGTCAGTAGAATACTGCTCTGTTTTTTGAATTTTCAATGACTTGTATTTCACAAGAAGACCTTGTGAATCCAATGGAAGCTTTCTTGAATTAAGAGCATAATCTCAATCGATTGGCACTACCCGAGAATATTTCAAAATGTGTATAAGATTGTTTTTGATGCCGACTGTCTCCTGTGGTTATGTAGCCTCCTTGAGTTTTTAGATTGAGGGCATTGTTTGGGGCATAGGGAGTTGGTTTTGTGGGGGAAAAAGTAAAACTATTTGGAGGCCATTAGTAGAAAAGTGAAAGACTAAAAGTTCTCTAACAGGGAATTTTGATGTCAACTAACTGTAAAATTTGGTTCCTGCAGGCACATAGTTAATTGGGAGTATGCGGGACCTGCCAATTAAGGCCTACTGCTTCATTACCAAGTACGAAACTATTAGTGTTCTTTAAAGTTTTAATATTTAATTTAGTAATTTCTTCGGCAATATTAGAATGGAGCTTCCGTTTCTGTTATCTTAAGGAAGAATTTCTTTTGGTGGCTTCACCATTGGAAATCAGAATAGGTTTTCCATTGGACATAGAGCTCTCTTTCTTTTGCTTAAGAAATATAAAGAGGGAGTTAAACAATAAGGGGAATGAAATTGATGAAGTAAATGTACGTTAATCCTATTCTTGTTACATGGTGGTCATTGCCGCATGGAGTTGCAGTTTTTGCACGCTACCCTGTGCGGCCATGGTGGAAATGACTGAAATTAAGTAAAAAAATCGAAAAAGTGGGGTAGCAGATCCAACTAAAAATAGAAGAAGTGGCGTAGCAGATCCAACTTGTTTACTCAATCATACTTCTTTTGCTGTATCTCACCCTGTGTTTTTTGGCTTCCCTTCCCCCTCTCACTAGTGCATAGATGGCCCATATTCTCTCTAGTATATCCTTTCTCTGGAAGCTACCTTTTCTCTTTCTTTTTCTCTGTCCTTTTTATGTTCTGTAATTCCTTATTGCTTGAGCCTCCATTTTTCTCTGTTCTGCATATCTCTCTATTCTCTGTCTATCCCTTTGAATTTCTTTTTCTCTATTGCCCTGTTTTGCAAATAGTGACTTTCTAAGGCTCTGTTTTGAGAGCAGAATATCCTATCAGTCCTCTTTTTTCAGTCTCTATTCTGTGATTCTGTCCTCTGTTTGTTGGTTACATATTATTTCCTTAAATTCTACAGTTTCAGTGCTCTTTTTTGCGTGAGTATACTTATATTTGCTACTTGTCACTATGTTTTGTTCATTGGTTGTGAATTTTATTTTATGTAAGCATTTTGTTCTGCATATTTTGTCTGGCATAACGAGCTTGGAGACTCACAAACATTCTTAAAATAGTCATATTATTTAAGGCTTTTGCCAGTGAGTTTGCTGCTTTCATCTTTTTTCTTAAAACACTACCTAACCTAAACAAATGGGGGAATGATGTAAACTAGTGGAGCTTATAAACACTCAATTTTGTTTGGTATGATTTATATTTTTTTATTTGATTAATGTATTACATGGTTAAACTTAAACAATAAAAAAAATAGTCAGAACTTGAGTGTATGGTATATAATATTCATCGAAGGTTTCCCTGTGGGATATTTTATGAAAAACAATGGAAAAGCTTTGCAGTGATATGTAGGGAAACTGTTAAGAGTTACAACATACAACAGCCTACTGGACTCTTCAAACTCAATTTATTTCTAAGAAGTTATAGTATGTTGAATGATTCTTTATACTAAGTAAAGTATAATATGATAACGTAACTGTTACTTTCGCCAGATGCAATTGATGGAACGTGAGACATGCTTGCTGGTTTAAGGTGGGGTATTTTGTTTTCACCATCTGAAGAACTCTTCGAGAAATCCTATCAGCCATTTCATAATTCGTGTTCAAACATGTGTTTAGCAATATGTTTTTCCTAAGCAAATTGTATGATTGGCATATTAATGTAGCCTATAGTTATTAGTGTTTACACAAACCACCTTAGTTTTTCCTTATATGATAGCATAACTGCAACTTGGATATAAATCTTTTGTTCATTAGTCTTTGGCCTTTTGCTTTGTTTAGGGTTTATACAGAAGGATGTTTCTAATTGAGCCTTTGTTTTATTTGTTATAGAGCTTGGTCTATCGGTTCCAAGGTGACTTACTAGAAGAATGATTGAAGAAAGCTTTTTAGGTTTGTAACGATGGATTTGTAATCATTTTGTTACATTGTTGCCCAGAAAGTGGGTATACTTGCTGTAATTCTTTCAGGCGTAGAAAATGATTTGTTCTGTTGAATAAAAATATAGTGCCTTAATTGATATATTTATTCATACACAAAATAGCATGATATCTTCTGCAAATCTGCATCTACCACCATTGCAAATCTGAGTCTATAGAGGGAAATTGCATTTCTGGACAACATTTTTGGAGTGGTTTATACTAATTATCTGAAAAATAATTTGGAAAATTTAATTATTCGACAGATGATTTTATTCATAAAAATTTAGATTTATCGATGAATAAGCTGCAGATAATTTTTTGAAAAACTTGCATAAAGATAAAAAAAATTATTGAGATAAAAAAAATTATTGAGATGTTAGATATAATCCAAGTTGAATTACGTGACTCAAATATGAAACTAATTAGGGTTTAGAGTTTGTTATTTTATTTAATAGTCAAGTCATTTAGGTGTATATAAATCAGTTTTATTCATTCAATAATATTAATATTTATTTTCTTTTTCTCGTCTCTTTTTCTCGTCACTGAAAGTGTCTCACGCACTAACAAATTAGTATCTAGAGATTCAGTTAGATTCTTAACAAATTAGTATCTAGAGATTCAGTTAGATTCTTGATCGTGTTTTTAAGAATCACATGTTAGAGATCGTGTTTCTGGGATCATGGGTTGTTGATCAATTGTTATCCAAGTTGAATTATGTGACTCAAATATGAAACTAATTAGGGTTTAGAGTTTGTTATTTTATTAAATAGTCAAGTCATTTAGGTGTATATAAATTAGTTTTATTCATTCAATAATATCAATATTTATTTTCTTATTCTCTCTCTTTTTCTCGTCACTGAAAGTGTCTCACGCACTAACAAATTAGTATCTAGAGATTCAGTTAGATTCTTAACAAATTAGTATCTAGTAGTATCTAGAGATTCAGTTAGATTCTTGATCGTGTTTTTAAGAATCACATGTTAGAGATCGTGTTTCTGGGATCATGGGTTGTTGTTGATCAATTGTTATCCAAGTTGAATTATGTGACTCAAATATGAAACTAATTAAGGTTTAGAGTTTGTTATTTTATTTAATAGTCAAGTCATTTAGGTGTATATAAATCAGTTTTATTCATTCAATAATATCAATATTTATTTTCTTATTCTCTCTCTTTTTCTCGTCACTGAAAGTGTCTCACGCACTAACAAATTAGTATCTAGAGATTCAGTTAGATTCTTAACAAATTAGTATCTAGAGATTCAATTAGATTCTTGATCGTGTTTTTAAGAATCACATGTTAGAGATCGTGTTTCTGGAATCATGGGTTGTTGTTGATCAATTGTTATCCAAGTTGAATTATGTGACTCAAATATGAAACTAATTAGGGTTTAGAGTTTGTTATTTTATTTAATAGTCAAGTCATTTAGGTGTATATAAATCAGTTTTATTCATTCAATAATATCAATATTTATTTTCTTATTCTCTCTCTTTTTCTCGTCACTGAAAGTGTCTCACGCACTAATAAATTAGTATCTAGAGATTCAGTTAGATTCTTAACAAATTAGTATCTAGAGATTCAGTTAGATTCTTGATCGTGTTTTTAAGAATCACATGTTAGAGATCGTGTTTCTGGGATCATGGGTTGTTGTTGATCAATTGTTGCAAAGACAAATGGTAATGAAAATTTAGCAAACCCCCTTCAAACTCTTGACGACAAGAATTGGTTTCGATGGAGAAAATAGATGCAATATCTATTTGACTTTCATGAAACACTAAAAGTGGTTACTAACGATGTTCTTGCGCTAGGTGAAGATGCAACTGACGTACAGAGAACCGCTCACAAGGATGCCAAGATCTTCAACCGACGTACAGAGAACCGCTCACAAGGATGCCAAGAAGAAGGATTACAAGGTGGCATTTTACATCCAATCGGCGGTTGATGTGGTTAATTTTGACAGAATCACTCATGCTGAATCGACAAAGGAGGCATGTGATATTCTTGTCAAGTACTATGAAGGAGGCGAGAAAGTCAAGGTTGTCAAGTTGCAAACTTTGCGACGACAAATGAATTGTTATCGATGAGAGAAGACGAAAAGATTAGGCTATGTGTCGAAGGTGCAGACACTCGTCCATCTCATGAAGAGTTGTGGTGAAATCCTAAATGATAAGATGATAGTTGAGAAGGAAATGCGTCGCTGACCTCTCACTTTGATCATATTATCGTAGCTATTCAAGAATTCAACAATCTTCAAACCCTAAAATTGGGAGATTTGGCTGGTTCGTTGGAGGCACATAAGATTAGAATTGTCGAAAGGAAAGAAGTTCAAGACTCGATAAAAACACTACATGCTCAATCATGGAAGAAGACTGGTGGTTCCAACAAGTTCAAAGGCAAAATTGACAAGACTTAGAGCAAGAAGTCTTGGTCGAACCTTCACAAGAATAAGATCGATGATAGAATTTTTGAATCCTCGAAAAGAGGAGAAGTAAATTCCTATCAGAAAGACAAAGTAGAGAAAAAAGGTATGCAACGCTATAATTGTAAAAAGTTGGGCCACTTGGCCAAACATTGTTCATACATGAAAGACAAGGGATCGACAAAAGGCAAGGACGAAGGAGTGAACCTTGTACATCAAGATTCAGATGATTCTGATGATATGGTAGTTATGGTTGCAGTTGTAGATGACCATGTTGAATCTAAGATCTGGTTCCTTAACTCAGGTTGCTCGAATCACATGACTGGTCGAAAAGTATGGTTAGTAAATTTTGATGAGTCGAAGAAGAGAAATGTCAAACTTGCTGATAATAGCTCGTTGCAAGCAGAAGACACTGACAACATAGTTATCCAAAATAACTTAGTCTTGAAATCTCCTTTGGTGAAGAATATAACATTTAAGACCATGATCAGTTCGACTGAGGTATAATGTCTAAAAGTAGTTGTCGACCACAAGAATAGTTGGTTGTGGCATATGAAATTTGGTCACCTAAACTTTATGGTAACTAGTCTACCAAGTCTTGATATGCTTGACAAACTTTGTGAAGGTTGTCTAGTCGCAAAACATTCTAGGAAGTCTTTTGTTTCGACTATGCTAATGAGATCATCTTGCATACTCGAAGTTGTACATTCAGATGTATATGATCCTTTTGAAGAGCATACCATTGGTGGAAATAGGCATTTCGTCTCATTTGTCGACAATTATAGTCGAAAGCTATGGATCTGTGTGATCAAACGAAAAGACGAAGTATTTGAAAACTTTAAGAGATTTAATATACTTGTCGAAAACCATGGTGAAAAGAAGATCAAAATTCTACGAACAGATAGATGTGGCGAATACACATCCCAAAAATTTAAAGCATTATGTGCAGAACATGGTATTGATCATGAGATAACTGCTCCTTATACTCCTCAACATAATGGAATAACAAAAAGAAGAAACAAAACCATATTGGACATGGCGAGATGCATGCTAAAGCAGAAGAATTTGCCAAAATCCTTATGGGGTGAAGTTGTTTCGGCTGCTGTTTATATTCTGAACATGTGTCCTACCAAGAAGCTGAAGAACAAGGTTCTTGAAGAACTGTGGAGTGGCAAACAATCATCAGTGAGTCATCTGAAGGTGTTTGACTCTATTTGTTATAAGCATATTACTGATGCAAGAAGAAGTAAGCTTGATCATAAGATTGAGCCTATGATTATGGTAGGATATCATAAGAATGGAGCATACAGACTATTCAATCTAATGAACAATAAGATCGTGATGAGTCGAGACATTGTGATTGATGAGAACTCTTCACGAGATTGGAATTCTGGTGATCCAATTAATAAGCCATTGATGAGTTATGATTTTGATGAAGCAAGTAATTATTTCGAAGTCGAAGATATTGCCGATATTCCAGTTGAAGTTGAAGCAGTTGCTGACATTCCCGACACAGTCAAAGTTTAAGAGGATATGGATGGCACAAGCCAGAGACCTCAAAGAACTAGAGCTCGTCCAACAAGACTTCAAGATTATGAAGTGGTTGGTGATGATAAAGTCACAACAGATGGATAACTAGTTCATTTTGCTTTACTTAGAGGTGCTGAACCAATCTACTATAGTAAAGCCTTCAAAGATAAACAATGAAGATTGTTATGGTTGAAGAGTTACAAACAATTGAAAGAAACGACACATAAGAGTTGGTCGAATTGCCAGCTTATACAAAAGCTATCAAAGTGAACTTGGTTTTCAAGTTAAAGCATAATACTGATGGGTCGATAGCAAGACATAAGGCGAGTTTGGTAGCTCGAGGATTTCTTCAGAGAGTAGGACCCGACAACTCTGAAGTATTTGCACCTGTCGCAAGATTGAAAACTGTTCGACTAATCGTAGCCTTGGCATGCAATCAGGGTTGGTCGCCATTTCACTTATATATGAAATCTGCATTTTTGAATGGACATTTAGATGAAGAGATATATGTCACACAACCTACTGGGTTTGTGATTCAGGAGGAAGTAAGGAAATTATATAAGTTACACAAAGCGCTCTATAGTCTCAAGCAGGCATCTAGGGCATGGAACAAGATGATCGACTCATACTTAGTTGAATAGGAATTCGTCAAATGCAAATCTGAGTATGAGGTCTATGTTCAGGTTGTGGCATAAGATATAACAATCATCTGCTTATATGTTAATGACTTGTTAGTAACTGAAAGTAGCTTGGAGAACTTGTCGAAGTTTAAAAAGCTGATGAAAAAGGAATTTGAAATGCCGGGTCTAGGAAAGTTGTTGTACTTCCTAGGCATGAAATTTCAAATGTTGAAGCATGATATGATGCTACATCAAAGAAAGTATGTCAAAGATATGCTCAAGAAATTCAGAATGAATGATTCAATTCATGCATCTTCGCCTATCAAACCAAATTTAAAGTTGGAGAAGCACGGAGAGGAAGACAAATTCGATGCGCCTTTGTTCAAAGAATTTTTCAGATCTCTGAGATATGTGTGCAACAATCGACCTTATATATGTTTTTAGTCGGATTAGTGAGCAAATATATGAGTGAACCAAGAGTGTCACACATGAAAGCTGCAAGAAGAATCCTGAGATACTTAAAAGGATCGAGAAACAATGAAATTTTATTTCGACGAGACTCTGAAAACAAAGAAACTATGGTTACTTGTTATTTAGATGCTGATTGGTGTGGAGATAAGGAAGACCGAAGAAGCACAATTGGATATTTTTTCAAGTATTTGATGCCCCAATCTCATGGTACTCGAGAAAGCAACCTGCGATAGCATTGTCATTGTGTGAGGCTGAATATATAGCAGGATCCTATGTTGTGTGTCAAATAATTTGGATTAGATTTGTGCTTGAAGAAATGGAGGTCGAAGTGAAAAAACCTTTTGAATTGCAGATCGACAACAAGTCAGCCATAAATCTGACAAAGAATTCAGTTTTACATGGAATAAGTAAGCACATCGAAGCTATATTTCATTTCTTAAGGGAGAAGGTGAATTGAGGTGAACTTGAAGTAAGACATTGCTCAAGTGAAGTACAATTGACCGATATTTTCACCAAAGGATTGAAGATCGACATGTTCCTAACTTTGAGAAAGAAATTAAGAGTAGTCTAGATCGACAATGATTAGTGTGTTTTGATAACTTGAATTACAGGGGGTATGTTGAGATGTTGGATATAATCCAAGTTGAATTATGTGGTCTGAACCCAAAGCTAATTATGGTTTATGATTTATTATTTAGTTTGTTTTTTTTATTTAGTAGTCAAGTTACTTAGGTGTATATAAATAGATAATTTGTAATTTAGTTTTATTCATTCAATAATATTAATCCTTATTTCCTTATTTTCTCTTTCTCTCCTCAATTAAAGTACCTCACGCACAATAAAAAATTATACTCCTTCCGTCCCAAAGTACCTCACGCACAATAAAAAATTATACTCCTTCCGTCCCAAAGTTTAAGATGTTTTTGCAATTATTATTTTATGGAGAAGTAAAATGATCTATGACTTTACAAAACTATCATTCATTAATTATATTGATAAATATACTAAAGAAATAGGAAGAAGAAAGAAAAATAAATGATAAAAAATATTTAAATTTTTTTTTAATATTTAATTAAAATTTTAAAATAATTTATAATTTAAAATGATTTATAATTTAAAACGAATATTTTTTACAAAATAACTTATAATAATTTAGGATATAGTATTTCTCTACTTTCTAATAAAACCTAAACTTAAAAGATTTTACAAAAGCCTTGACTGTTTGACATATACAAAAGCCTTGACTTAAAGATATAGATTGGCCTAACCTAGTTATATTTTTTTTTAACTATTTCCACCGCCTATCACATACATTTGACGGTGCATTAACACCGATAGTTGAGTTGAAAGGTAACTAGTGTGAAAGTAGAATTACAAAATAATAACTTTAATAATAAAAAGTTTAGAGAATTGGTTTATCAAATGGACAGAAAATAATTAAATTTATTAAAAAGTGAAAAAGAAAAAGAAAATAGGATACAAAATCTTTCTCTCTATTTTCAAGGAATAATATCTAGATTTAGATATTGTAAAGACAAATTTATGGCTAACTAATTCCCACTATTTATAGACTTGTTCTAAGAATTAAACATTTTGAATCAAAAAACATGCTTTGCAAAGAGATTGTAGCATGTATCTGAGATTCTGAATAAACACACACAAAAAAATTATAGTTTTTCCTTAAAGCGGTTGGAAAGACTGTTTAGATAGAAACATTAATGACAGTTCACTTCTTGTAACTTTGTTTTCGCACACGTTTCATGTTGAATAGCGGTTACATCATTTCCAATATCATGCATCATGCATCGATATAATAATTATTAATATAAGATTTTTCTTCTTTTTCAAATCATGAATTATGATGAGAGAGTTAGAATTTGAGATATAAAAGAAGCATATGAGAATGTAGAGAGGATAGGGTTAAATATATATCCTCTCTTGTGAATTTTGAAGAAAGAAAATGATGAATTCAGGGATGATTGAAGATGTGATTATAATTGGAGGGTTAATTGGTGTACAATTTGTTTATGCTGGAAATGCTATGCTCATGAGTTATCTTATGTCTTTGGGTCTTCAATCTTTTACCATTGTCATTTTCACTGCCTTTGCTACATTTATTCTTCTCCTTCCCTCTGTTCTTTATTATGAAAGGTACCATTTTTTTTATTTTTTTGAGATGGGTTATGGGAAAGTTTTGAACTTTGATGATGATTTTTATTTGGGTGTGATTGTTTTATTGCAGGAGTAAATGGCCTAAGAAAATTAGTTTCAAGTTGTTTTTAAAGTTTCTTCTTCTTGCTCTTGGAGGGTAAGAATATCTTATTACTATTATGTGTTTTTAGTTTAATGTCCTTGGCCTTTGAATTTTGTTTTCACTTTTGATCTTTTTGATTCTTTTCATTTTGTTAAACAAAAAATGGGGTTTGAAAAAAAGATTTTGAATTTGTAGGGTCTTAGAGTTGCATACCTAATGCAAATCTTGAAGAAGATCACAAGAGACTAATTTTAGATATTTTTTGGGGGAGGGATTCATTATCATGGATTTTAGGGAAATATTTGATCCCTAGAATCTCTCACAAGATAATCATATTCTTGGTTTGGATAACACTAAAATTATCCTTAACCACCATGCAAAATGGATAAGGCCTATTAGACATATTCTGTTTATGTATCTAGAACACTAGAATCTATGTTGTTAATTTGATCATTGGCAGTGATGATCTTATGCAGTGTAACTTTGTTCCAATCTTTATTCCTTAAAGGAATCAATCTAACCTCAGCAGCAATGGGAACAGCCATGCCAAACCTTGCCCCGGGGTTTATCTTCATCATAGCATGGATTTTTCGGTAAGCACGACTAATTTCAAACTAGTGTAACTAATTTGTAACTTCGTAACTAAGTTTTACATGTATAATAATAATAATGTGATGCAGGTTGGAAAAAGTAGACTTAAACTGCACATTTAGTAGAGTAAAAATAATTGGCACATTGCTTTGTGTCTTAGGAGCACTCACAATGAGCTTATTGCAAAGTATCTCAACTCCTATACCAATGGAAAAGTTAACTATTCCACCACAACCAGTTGTCTTGTTTGACAGAGACAAGATTATTGGTTGCCTCTATCTCTTGGTTTCAATCCTTCTTCTCTCAAGCACAGTTGTTTTACAGGTAAAGTTTTTTCATCTCATTCAATTCGGTCCTCAAATGCAGTCTGCTTCAGACTGCATCTGAAGACCGAACATGTTCAAAATTAAGTTCTTTTTTTACAAAAAATTGTGTTTGCTGCAGGCATTTACTTTAGGGGAATTTCCGGCACCTATGACATTGTGTGCGATAACATCATTTTTGGGTGGTGTGATTACAACAGCAGCTCAATTAATTGGATATCATGAAATCAAAACCGGATGGCCATTAGTTAGAGTTGGTGACATGATTGGCTATTCTGTTCTGGTAATTTCAACTAGTCTTCAATTTTGTAGTAATACTGTGAATTATTAGTACATTGGTAGTTAGATATTAAATGATGGCTGAATTGAAAATTCACAGTCAGGTGCAGTAACTGGAATATGCTTAAGCACCAGTGCTTGGGCACTTGAGAAGAGAGGACCAGTTTTCGTATCCATGTTCAGTCCTGTTGGCACTGTTTGCTCTGTCATTTTCTCTATTGTTACTGCAGGAGATAGTACTGTCAATATTGGAAGGTACCTTCATATCATTCCTAACTACTCCCTCTGATCCTTAATATAAGAAAAAAGTATCAGAGAGAGATAACTAAAAAATGTTTGACTTGCAATGCAGCATAGCAGGGATGGTCCTCATGTTCACTGGACTCTACTTTGTGCTTTGGGCCAAAGGGAAAGAAGATTGCTTGGAGAGTGAGTTTGTTGATGCAGAGAAGCCTCTCTTAAGTTAAATTATGTGTATGTTTTGATAAGTTAGTGTGTAATTGTTAGGTTTTGAGATAGAGTAATGTATTATTATATAGGGCAAGTTTTTTTAGGCAAGGATATTAATGAAGAGTGCATGATGCACATTCAGGTACAAGTTTAATCTTCATGGTCATTCCATAGCACAGATAGTTTTGAAAGAATAGTTGAGGTAGAATATTTTAATCTTATAAACGATTTTGTGGCCAGAATAAAAGTTTTATGTAGAATAATTTCTTTGGAAAAAACTATTTGTAGACCATTTTAAAAATAAAATATTGAACATGTCACCTTAATGACATTTTGGAAGTGGAGTATACATTGAGACAACAATGCAATTTGACAAAGTTGGTTTGTTTGGATATGCGGTGAATCAAATTAAGTGAGTTTCTGAAAAAAGATTTATGTTTAGATAAATTTTGATAACACTGAGTTAAATCATATTTAGACAAATCAAATCCACCTTCATGACATTTTGGAATTGGAGTATAGGTTGAGGCAGCACTGCAATTTGGCAAAGCAGGTTCTAGAATTGGCCAAGTATGCCTTTGATTATGCGGCTAAGAGAATTGGTTAGTAAAATTATACTCACTAAAAATGAGTTTAAGAAAAAGTGATTTACATTTTAATGCTTATAAAGAATGATTCAAATGAAAAATGCCCTCTAATATTTTCAAAGTAAGAGCTCCGACTGATTAAAGTTAGGAGTGCATCGTCGGTAGAAGAGACGAGTCAATCGGTGCATCAATTAAAGTTAAGAGTGCATCGTCGGTAGAAGAGACGAGTCAATCGGTGCATCAATTAAAGTTAGGAGTGCATCGTCGGTAGAAGAGACGAGTCAATCGGTGCATCAATTAAAGTTAGGAGTGTATCGTCAGTAGAAGAGATGAGCCAATTGGGGCATACAGGTTTAATGTGAGACTTTTCTACACTTGTTTCTCATCTCTTCCAACTCATTTTTATTTTTCTCTATACTTCTCCTCAAGTATAAGTCTATCTACAATACTTCTCTTAAGTGGATGCTCTTTTTTTTCATATACATTTATACTACCGTTGACACTTTTTCAACAGGTGGAGAGAACTTTTGATACAAGTGAGTCGGTCTTTTACTCGAACCAAAGACTTATGATATTATTGTTTGATCATCAATTATAGGGGTCAACATGAGAGAGCATTTACATTCATTATGACATTTATTTATGAGTAACACACTGTGTGAGAGACACACTATATATTCACTCAAAATGTTAAGGTGATATGTGTATGAATTCTCTTATTTATAAATTCTCAAATTTTTATTTTTTTAATCAATCTCAATATTTCTAACTCACAATTAAATAATATATATTTTTAAAAATAAATATAATAGATATTTTATAAATAAAAGGATCGAAAGAATATAAATGACAATCAAACCACATATACAAGAGGCACTACCAAGTGACCCCTTTAAGTAACAAAAGACAAACCGAAGAAAAAATCACAAAAATAAACAAACATTAAATACACTAAAATGTCACTCTAAAAAGAGAAAAACACTGCACCACCCACCACTAAATCATATGACAAAATTAACATTGTCGCATTACATAGTACAGGGGCCAAGCTAAATCCAAGTATCAAGAACCATTGTCAATAAAAACAAAATCTTTTAGAAAGAGATCGAGAACACTATGCTTCAAAAATCTAGTCAATAACTCTTAAACTGTTATTGGCTCAAGCAAAAAATAAGATTCTTCACTTTCGAGTTAAGAAAATGCTCGTAATTTCTAAAACCTTCACATTAATGAACAAACCTAAAAAACAACGTTAGTTCCAGAATTTTCAAATAGACCATTTCAGTGAGTGTAAAATCAAGGAGACACCACCTCTTTATCCTAAACAAGTCATCCATCGAAATGAAGACCTCAAATGTCGATTAAAAGTTCTTAAAGAGGACATAAAATCAACACAACTACCTAAAATCATATAAGCGTGAGATCGGCTGAAAAGGACCACTACACAAATTAGAGGAATCTCCTACAAAATACACAAATTAGAAGAATCTCCTACAAAATCAGATAAAACACCTTTCTTAAACATGTTCTCTCTATAGGGGAATTTATCTTATAAGGGTTATCACGATAAAACAATAACTTTTAAGGGGGTCTAACTTAACCAAGTCAGGGGAAGAATACGATCCAAACTATTCAAAGGGAAAACACTACCAAAGTTATCTTCAAGGGGGGAATTATAAGCCGAAGTAACTGGAAAGACACCATCATCCCATGCCACCACCACTACCATCGATGTCAATCCATAGAGAGAATGATACCCTAAATAGTTAGAAGGAGATTGAAAACCAACTTATGTTCCTAAATAAAAAGAGATATCCTCCATTAAAGGTCCCAAACCAATTGCTCATCCTCTCAGAAGCCAACCTCTCTTATAGTTTTATCCCACTAACATGAAATAAGATAGAGCCTATGAAACTTAACTCTAAGCGGGGTTTTCCCCAGCCAAGGGTCATCTTAAAATAAGGTTAGATGGTCCTCCATTTTTTTCCAGAGGCTATCGACAAACTAATCAGAGGAACCTTTAACTTTAGAACTCATAAGTAAAATGACTTTCCACTAGGAAGGAGCTGAGCAAGAACTAGAACTCCTAGCTCCCAAGAAGGAGGAAACAACATGGTATTCATATATAGTAGAAAGGATATCATGCCAAATGCTAGATGCATTAGATAACAACCTCCAACGCCAATTTCCCAGAAGAGCTAAACTAATTCAACAAAGATCTCGAACTCATAGACCCTCTCCTCACTTAGGTTTTCATGCATAAAACTATTTAACAAAAATATTCTTCAGTTCTCATTTTAAACCCCCCTTTATCTCTTTCTCACACACACACACACACACACACACACACACACACACACACACACACACACACACACACACACACACACACACACACACACACACACACACACACACACACACACACACACACAAAGATAAACAGATAAACAGATAGATAAACAGACAAACACACACGCGCGCGCGCACACACACACGCGCACACACACACACACACACACACACACTTACAGACAGATAAATAGACAGACGCAGACAGACAAACAGATAGACATACACAGACACACACACACACACACACATGCATGCAAGCATACACACACACACACACACACACACACATGAATGCATGCAAGCATACACACATGCACCCACGCATGCACACACGTACACATACATGCACATGCACACACGCACATGCATGCAAGCACACACACACACACATACACACACACGCACACACATGAATGCATGCAAGCATACACACATACACCCACATATGCACACACGTACACGTACATGCACATGCACACACACACACGCGTGCGCGCACACACACACACACACACGCACAAAGACACACCCACATACGCGGAGATTAGAAACCAACTTATGTTCCTAAATAAAAGGAGATATCCTCCATTAAAGGTCCCAAACCAAATGCTCATCCTCCTAGAAGCCAACTTTTCCTATAGTTTTATCCCACTAACAGAAAATAAGATAGAGTCTATGAAACCTAACTCTAATAAGGTTTTTCCTCAGCCAAGGGTTATCTTAAAATAAGGTTAGATGGTCCTCCATTTTTCTCCAGAGGCTCATCCAATCCCCTATATGAGCTAAATTAATTCAACAAAGATCTCGAACTCACAAACCATTTCCTCACTTAGCTTTTCATGCATAAAACCATTTAAAAAAAATATTCTTTAGTTCTCCTTTCATCTCCCCCCCCCCCCTCTCTCTCTCTGTCTGTCTCTCTGTCTCTCTGTCTCTGTCTCTCTCACACACACACACAGACAAATAGACACACACACGCAAGCAAGCAAGTGCACTCAGACACACACAAGCAAACACACTCACACAGACACATGGACACCCTCATACGCACACACAAAACACACACACACACACACACACACACACACACACACACACACGGACAATTGCATACACATATACACAGACTCGCAGACAAGCATACACGCACACACACATATAGAGATTAAAACTAACTTATGTTCCCAAATAAAAACATATATCCTCTATTAAAGGACCCAAAACAAATGCTCATCCTCATAGAAGCCAACCTCTCCTATAGTTTTATCCCACTAACAGAAAATAAGATAGAGCCTATGAAACCTAAACCTAAGAAGGTTTTTCCTCAGCCAAAGGTCATCTTAATATAAGGTTAGATGGTCCTCCATTTTTCTTCAGGGTCTATCGACAAACCAATCAGAGAAACCTTTAACTTTAGAACTCATAAGTGAAACTAATTTCCACTAGGAAGAAATCGGGAAGGAACTTGAACTCCTAGCTCTCATAAAGGAAGAAATAACTTGGTATTCAAATTTAGTAGAAAGGATATCATGCCACAAATTAGATGCATTAAATAAGAACCCCCAACGCTAATTCCCTAGAAGAGATGAATTAATTCAGCAAAGATCTCGAACTCGTAGACCACCTTATCACTTAGGTTTTCACGCATAAAACCATTTAACAAAAATGTTCTTCGATTCTCATTTCACCCCTCCCCCCTCTATCTCTCTCACTCACACACTCACACACACACACACACACACACACACACACACACACACACACACACACACACACACACACACACACACACACACACACACACACAAACACACACACACACACACACAAACACACACACACATACACATGCAAGCACACACATAAGCACACACGTATGTACACACAAACACATACACACACACGCACACACACACACACACATCATTTAAAACCTAACTAACTTTTTCCACACCTTGATTAGATTTTTCATGAATGATAAGGAGAAAATAGAGATATTGAATCCCCATGCTTTAAACTGAACTTCGTCATATTCTAAACTCTTTAACTAATCAAATACTTTTTCAACTTGTCTT